CCATTGGGGTTGCTGGTTGCAAGCAACAGAACTGACTATGTTGGTTCCCAGAGGCTGACCGTATGAGTGTGCTAGGGCTGCTGTAACAAACACCACAGACTGGGGGCCTTAAAACAATGGAGCTGTGTCCTCTCACGGCTCTGGAGGCCAGACGTTCAAAATCAAGGTGTCGGCAGGGTTGGTTCCTTCTGAGGCTGTGAGGGAGAATCTGTTCCATGTTTCTCTCCTGGCAATCCTTGGAGTTCCGCGACTTGAGATGCAACACTCTAATCTGTCTCTGTCTCCACACGGCCTTCTCCCTGTGTGTCTCTGTCTCTCTTGTCTTCTTCACCAGCCACATCGGATTAAGGGCCTACCTAATTTCAATATGTCCTCATCTTAATTAATTACACTACAATGACCCTATTTCCAAATAAAGTCACATTCACAGGCACCAGGGCTTAGGACTTGAACAGATCTTTTTGGGGGTAGGGGAAACAAAATTAAACCCTGAGACTAGGATTTTAGTGCAGGTGGTATATTTGCGAGAGGGTCCCAGGCAGCTCTAGCAGGGGAGGGGGCACGTGAGGCAGGGAAGGGGGGGCCATCTGGGGACCATTAATGCCCAGGTGACTGCCCTGGGCACCTGGAGCTCAAACCCAAGGGCAACCTCTGAGAAACTGTCCAGATCACTCTTCAGAGGCGTCCCAGCCTGGGCTGAGGAAGCCAGGCCGTGGTCCTTCAGCTCCGTTTGCTCCCACGTTATGGACCCGAGCACCTTGGCCCGTCCTGTGTGCCGGCCGAGCGTGTTCCGAGGACAGAGTTTCCAGGCTGAAGGTGAGGATTCAGGACTCAGGGAATGATGAGAGCAGAGGGGAGGTACCCACAGCTCCCGGCCACCTGCCTCTCCCACTCTTGCTAACTTAGCAAAAAATAAAAGATGCACCAGAAAGCTCTTGAGCTCAGAGAAGTAACAAGGGAAAGGAGGATCAGCCTGGGGAGACTGGGGAACACGCCTTGCACGGGGCCTCTGTGCTCGTCACCAGAAGATGCTGCTCTGGGCAGGCCAACTGCAAAGGGGTGCCCCGTCCGGCAGGATGCATTACATCCTCTCTCTGGGCTGCTGCAGCCCCACGCTGCCCCTCCACTGGGCAGGCACCTTTGGGCAGGGTGCAAACTGCCTAGCCATTTCCAGCTGCCCCGAATGGGAGCTTAGGGTACAAAACAGACACACAGCCACAGAGACACGTGGGGATCATGGGGCTACCCAGTCCCCAAGCCGACACGGCGGCTCCAATAAGTCCCACCTGGTAGGTTTGTTCAGAGGATCCTGAGACAGCCTGGCCTGACACACAGGAACGCTCAGCAAAGAACTGTTCTTACAACTTTCACCAAACGGCAGGAAAGCAAGTCCCAAAGCACCAGCTCCACAGAACTGGCCCTGAGCTCCCCAGAAAGCCTCTTGGGCTACTGACAAACATTCTCTTCCTAGCCTATTCCTTTCCGTCTTAGCTAGCCTCGTAAATATCTTTGTCTTCTTTTTATCAGTACACAGAGAGGTGTTCCCTGGCCAGGCACCAGGCTGAAGGCTCTCGGGGTCTTTCCGCTGGATTGCAAAGTAGCACTGCCGTCTCCCACGCTGCAGACGAGGAAACGGAGGCTCACGGAGGACAAGCCTTCTTCTCCCTACAAGCCTCCCTACAGGGCCTCCCGTGTCTTCCTCTCAGGCACTGTCTCTTGGGCAGGAAAATGCACACAGCATCCAGGAAGTGCCCCGGACCCCCTCAGGCCCCTCTGCCCACTCTGTCAAGGGGCGGGGCTTTGAGAAGGGGAGGAGCCAAGATGCAGGCAGCCACGTGCGGGTCCGGGTTTAACACCCAGTTCTCCATGTGCAGCCTTTGCCAATTTCCATGGTGTAAATACTCTCACTGCGGCTGATTTCAAGCTACCGATGTGAGGCCACTGAATGAGGAGTTGGGAAGAGATGTGTAACAGCTCCTCGAGAGATGGTGTTTCTACCAGGCAGATGCCACAGACATGAATGACCTCGAGAGCAGGGAGAATGGTAAGAATGCAACCAAAATAATTAGGAAGTGATAATGTTTCTGATAAGGAGGATTTCCTTCCTTCCTTTTTCATGTAAATTATATAAGTTTATATGACTTCATTTTTAATAAGGGCTGTTTAACTCTCTGGAGTGGGTATGAGCTGGCTTCAGCATAATCGCTGAACACCTGGCCTCTCCTCGCCCTGACCTGCCCCATGGGTTCCAGGGCCAAGGCTGAAGGGCTGACCCAGCTTGGGGTGGGCAATGGGGGCCACATAAGAAGTCCTGCCCCTGAATATGCGGAGCTGCTTCCTATTACTCCTAGACTCCCTGTTGGACATTTGCATGGATGTTAGAACTGAAAGGGCCCTGGAGGTCATCTGGTCCTTCGTCTTCATTTCCCATGTAATGACCTGAGGCCCAGAGAGGGGCAGCAAGCAGCCTGAGGCTGCACAGCTCATGAGAGACGTCACTGAAAGATTCCTAGGCCTGGCGCCCTGCCCAACCTCCATATCCTCTGAGCCACCAGTCGACAGCCTGTCTTTCCCCAGGGGCTCTCTGTGAGGCACAATCTGGGCACAAACCTCTCCCATGTCTAGGCACCGGAGAGGGAAGCTGATATCTGTTGATAGCAGGGAAGAGTTCCAGTCTAGTGAGTACAAACTCAAAGCGCTTGCATTCTGACAAATGGTGGCTAGAAGTAAGTTGGTTCCTGAAGCCCACCCAGGCCTGTGTTTTTAAAGAGACTCCCCCTGACCCCCAGTGCATATCGTCCCCAACCTCCTAGCCTCCTCGTTCCTCCTAGTGAGATGTCACGGCATCAGCCCCTGTGACGCTCCAGGACAAGGTGGAGATAAGGCCAGATGATGTATTGGAAATCTCTCTGTGGTCCTAGAACCAAAGTGCTGGATGCTTTGAGGCCTAAATCGTCCTGTTGGAACAGCGAAAAGCATGGGGGAGTCCAACCTGACAAGGGTCTCTCTTCTCCCTCCGAATACCTACCACCATTTCACTTGCTACTATGATTTTCTACACCCACGTGGCCTCCTGCTTGACCTATAGTGTGAGCCCTGGAGGCTGAGATTAGCCTCCATACAGTTTCATTTCACATGGTGCCTGGGGTCATTAAACATTCCCTTCTCCCTCTTCTCTGCCTGGAAAACTCCTATTCATCCTTCAAAGCCCTGGGTTGAATGTCCCCGATCCTGGAAAACCCTCCCTGACTCTCTTGGGGCAGAGCTGCACACACTCTTCTGTGCTTCCATTGCACTTGCCCATAATTTACCCACAAGAACGTATGGGGCGCCTACTTCACGGCAGGCACCAGGAACACTGCACTGATGGAGACAGAATCAGGCCCTACTGTGAGGAACCTACATTCCACCTGGGGAAGCAAACACCAACCAGTTTCCTAATATTTGAGTAAAAGTCACCAAGACGCAAGGACCACTCGCTATGCGCTGTGTTTGACAGATGTGGAGCCATTTACACGCTCAGCCATATGCTGAGAGTGCTGGTATTGTCTTCCCGAACCTTCTATGCCTCTGTGCTCCCTTTTGGGGTGTGGGATCTAAAGTGACACCCTTCCCACCTCCACTCTCTCTCCTGGTCCCCTTCCTGCTTTGTTTCCCTTCTCAACACTTGTCACCAAATACACTACTGGCACGCCTTGGAGATACTGTGGTTTGGGTTCCAGACCACTGCAGGAAAGCGAGTCACAGAATATTTTGGTTTCCCAGTGCATCTAAAAGTTAGGTTCACATTACACCGTAGCATATTAAGTGTGCAATAGCATTATGTCTAAAAAACTCAATGTATGCACCTTAATTAAAAAAGAGCCTGTTGCTGAGAAATGCTAACCATCCTCTGAGGCTTCCGTGAGTCGCGATCTTTTCGCAATAGTCACGTCAAAGATCACTGACCACAGATCAACGTAACAAATAGAGTAAAAATGAAAAAGTTGGAGGTAGTGGGAGATTTACCAAAATGTGACACAGAGACAAGAAATGAGCAAACACTGTTGGACAAAAGGCGCTGAGAGACTTGCTCAAGGCCGGGTTGCCACAAACCTGCAATTTGTAAAAACGCAGTTTCTGCAAAGCACAATGAGATCAGGTGTGCTTGTATACATTTTCCTTTCACTTCTCATTCATTCTCTGCAAGCCCAGCCCTGTGGGGTAACACGAGTCTCCCAAGGCTTGGGGACATATAAGTCTGTATCCCCATAGCCTAGGGCAACAGTGACCTAGGTAAATAGTGGCGATCGGACATACACATTTGATGAAAGGAACTGAAAGGAACGCATCAATCTGTCTTTTTCAGATGAGATCACCGGCACTCACAGACGTCCAACAACTTTCCTCAAGTCACACAGCCTGTGAGCAGCAGAGCTTGGATTCAGACTTAGGGCTGCAGGGCGCATGCTCCTCGCCTCCCACCACAGCGAGCCGACCCTTTGTATTGCTGTCACATGTCACCTGACTGCCTCCCCCACTCGACCACCCTGCAGGGTGGGAGCTGGTGTCTCCATGTTGTACCTACAGGAACGCACAGAGCTCCCGGCCTGGAGCAGTTTCCACTAAATGTTTACTGAATGAGTCAGGAATGGCACGGAAGCATAATTGCATCCTATCGACTATCGACATTTGGTTATTGACTGTTGAGACAAACACTCAGTTTTAAGTCCTCGGACTCTAAAATCAGGTGCTCTTTGTCAGGAGAAAGTAAACATGGGTAGGCAGAAGCACGTCACCGGCCCCCTGTGCATTTTTAGGGGCCCCTGGCTTCTTTACTCCCAGGCTCGGAATCTTTGGAGGGCTGTGAGTTCCCTCTGCTCCCCACCCGACTTTGGCACAACTCAGATAAAGAAAGAAGGACGCCTGCCCTGTGCTGTCCGCATCTGGGTACGCTTGTACACCGTACAGTGCGGGCATCACCCATCTCCTCCCAGCCCCCCCCCAGCCCGGGCACTTACATGGGTCCTCTCCGCCAGCCTCGCGTGCAATGCCCGTTTCCAGATATTCCTGGCAGAACTGGCTTCAAGGAGCAGCAGCAGGCAGCACAGAGTCCAGCTGACCTTCCTCCAGCCGCTGCCCATCCTGCAGCTGGTCAAAGGCATTTCCTCCCAGATGGTCAGAGGAGACGGGCCCTCTGGCCGGGGCAGGGGGGGGGGGGCGGTCCTGGAAGTGTGGAGCAGAAGTGTGCACGGTCTGCCGGACGGTCTCAGCTCCACTCGGCCGGGTCCCGGGGATCATGTGTCCGCGCCCAGCCCAGGCCCCCCCACCCCGACCCGCACTCCCGATGGGGGCCGCCCACCGGGTTATTTTTAGCTTGCCCTATTGCATCTGGCCCGGAGACTCCACGCCAGACAGACGTCTGCAGCCCAGGCAGCTCAGAAGTCAGTGGCGGCGGCAGCAGGCGGGGGTATCACGCTGCTAGGAGACGTGGCCGGGAGCGGCCCTGTCACGCTGGGATAAGGAGTACTTCCTTGCAGGCTGGGCGGTCCCCTCCCCAGGAGGTGTGCTGGCTCTGGGGGGCGGGGGTGGGCACGCAGGGAATGGGTGGGGGGCTTCCGGCTGCTACTTTGTCCAAGTTTTGAGCTGGTCTGACAAACTCTTCTGCCCACAAAAGCTTCTTTGGAAGACTTGTTGCCGAACGGGGACCAGTGGAGCGCGTCACCGTGGGAAGAGCGTCCTGGAACCCTGGTGACCTCCGCTCTAATGTGGGTGTGTGGACGGTTACATCGTGTGTTTCTTGGGAGAGTTCTATGCAATTGTGTGTGTAAAGCGCTTCACAGACGTCGTAAGTGTGCTATAAATGTTGGCTTGCGTGTGTTTTATACAAGGATCCATATTTCACAAGCTTTATACTCTATCGCCTGTCTCAGCAACCCCAAGACAGGCACTGCTTTGATGTCCATTTTACAGATGGGGAAATAGAGGTACAATACTTGCCTGAAGTCAGGCAGTAGTAGCAGAGCTGGGGCTCAACCCAAGCCCCATCTGATCACCATGACACCCTACCAAGCGAAGCAGAAGGGACCCGAGCTCTGGATTCAGAGCCCCTGGGCTGAGTCCCAGCTCAGCCTCTGTGTCTGTGGGATGCTCGCTGCTCCGCATTTCTCTCATCTGAGACACTGAGTTTGTGGTCATTCACTACAGCGGCAGAGGGAAGCTGCTACACCCTGGAGCAGGTTGTAGGCTCTCAAGGTCAGGTACCCACGTCTCTCTTACTGCTTGCACCCCTGTGCCTTGCACAGCGCTCAGTAGGCACTGGCCCACTGCACAGAACAAATGTCATCATCATGACACAAAGGCGTATCCCTGGTCTACGGACTAAGAGATGGTCACAAAAGCCAGGCGTGTTTCCCAAAGCCCCCATTCATGACTGACCTCCCAGGCGCCTTCCTCAGGACACGGCACAGGGCTTGGCCACAGTAGGGGCTTAATACATGTTCCTCAATTGAGCTATCAGTTCCTCAGCTGTATTCAGACCACAGGGACCCAAGGCACCAAGCTGTGTGCCATCCGTTGATTTCTTATAAACATTAACTTACAAAAATGATCTTCCCAAGTCTTGAAGACAGGGGGTGGCTATTCTGGGAACACGGCTGCCCTCCGGGTTTCATGTGGAAGGAGAAAAGGCTCTGAGTCGAGAAATAAACAGCCACTTTCCTTTGACCAGGGCGAGGCAGGATGCCGGCCTGCCAGCCAGCCTGGGCGCTCCCAGCTGGGGCCGAGGGGGCCGGCCAGGGCCTGGGGCCCCTCGTGATGTCAGGGAGGGCAACTCCTCCCCAGTTCCTGCCAAGCCTCAGAACTTTATGTTCCAAGTGGCGGAGGGCCTTCTGGTTTATCTGGGCTCTGGAGACCTGGATTTGAGCCCAAGCCTCGTGGGCTGCACTCCTGGGATTCATCAAGCCTGAGTGTGACTTCCTGCAGATCTGTGGGCGGGGCTTCCTCTGGGAAAGCCTTGGAGCTGGCAAGGCTCTTCAACTCCTCTGCTGCCAGAGGCCAGCTGGCCAGGCCTGCCCACAGGAGTCTGACAGCCGCTGCCTACTGGCAGCTTTGCTCCCTCCAGAAAGGGAGGAAAATATCTCCTTTAAAAATACAAAGGGTGGGACTTCCCTAGGCGCGCAGTGGTTGAGAATTCGCCTCCCAATGCAGGGGACACCGGTTCGAGCCCTGGTCCGGGAAGATCCCACATGCCGCGGAGCAACGAAGCCCTTGCACCACAGCTACTGAGCCCGCGCTGTAGAGCCCACGACCCACAACCACTGAGCCCGCATGCCACAACTACTGAAGCCTGTGTGCCTAGAGCCTGTGCTCCTCAACAAGAGAAGCCACCGCAGTGAGATGCCCATGCACCGCAACGAAGAGAAGCCCCCGCTCGCCACAACTAGAGAAAGCCCGTGGGCAGCAACGAAGACGTAATACAGCCAAAAAAAGGAAATACAAAGGGTGCAAGTGCAGGGCCTCCCTCTAAGGAGCAGAGGACATGGCTCGTGGTGCCAGGGTCCAGGAAGAAATCCTGCCCTTCCAACCCCCATGAAACTCCCCCACCTGATCACTGAGGTACCACGTTCCTTCCCCAAAGAGGCAGAACATTTCTTCCACAGTGATCAGGTCAGGCAAATAAGTGCTCTAGGAAAGGGGACAGGGTGGCATTCATTCATACTTTATACTAAAGTGAGTGACTTCCAGCAGAAACAGACATAGAGGCATACAAGGAGGAGCAGAAAACATTCATTCATTCAAACCTTTGAATATCTACTATGTGCCAGGCCTGGGGATGCTGGGGAGAAACCAGGCCCAGGCCCTGCCTTTATGGGGCTTAACAAGTAGAGGAGTCAGATAATAATCAGTGTTTTTAATAAACACTTAGATGACACTTTTTGGCTCCAGGCATGGTTTCAAGTGCTTCAAAAATACTAATGTACTCTATCACAACTCTACTAGATAGTTACTATCATCATCCCATTTTATAGATGAGACTGAGTCTCAGATTAACAATGGAGTGCTTTAAAAATATTCACTCATCTAACCCATCAAAACCCTGTTAGTCAGGTACTCTTACTATCCCCACTTTACAGACAGGGAACTGAGGGTCAGAGAAACGAACAACCTGCCCAGCTATGCATGGCCAATAACTGGCAGAGCTGGGATTGCAACCCAGACACTCGCTCTCAGAGTCTGGGCTCAAAACTATTGCACCGTGTGTCCACAGGACCAAGCTGCAACAAGGGCATATGGGGGGAGGGGGAGTGACCTAGTCACAGAAGCCAGCAGAGGTCCCCTGGTGAAGTGGCCACGCATCTGGGAAGTGAAGGACGAGGCTGGACAGAGAACGGGCTGGAGATGCAGCCCGATGCCCAGGAGGAGAGCCTCGCCTTACCTAAGTGGGAGGGGGTGTCACCATCCAAACAGAGCCATGTTATTCCACGAGCCCTTGGTGCTTTTGCCTTCCTGGGCCCTTTCCTCTATCAGAAAAAAAAAAAAAAAAGTTAACAATGATCTATTATGACGGCATTGATAAAAGGACAAATACAATCCAACCTGGAATATATTCTTTTTATTTCCTCTGATTTTAAGAGAATTTAAAACACTCTCCTGGGCCCCTAAAAGCCTTGTGGGCCCTGGGACGCACGCCTGAAGATGGCCCTGGTTCCAAATACTGCTGTGTGACGTCGGGTAAGCCTTCGCACCCTCTGGGCCAAGATTAAATAGAGAGGGTAGTCAAGCCTCTATAGGAGGTGCCTGGCTCTCGGCAGCGTCCTCTGCAAGAGCAGGGAGGACCGCTGGGAAAGGCCCTGGAGTTACACAATCAGCCTGCAGAACAGCCCCGCCCAGCTCTGCTCCAGCCCATGAATGAAAGCAGATGTCCCCTGGGAGGCCCATTCTTGGACAGCCAGGCCCTGACCTCACTCCACCCCGCCACCCTGTTCCTGACCTCCACTCACTGTCCCTCTCCCCACTTAATTCACAGCGGATGCCCTCCCAGCCGGGAAACTCCCAGCTTCCCTCGTCCAGCGCCCCAGAGTGACTGGTCCAGGGCCAGACCCCACCACCACCTGGAACTGACCCCTCCTCTCCGGCCAATGGGACCTCCCTCGCTTCCTTCTGCCTTTCGGGATTGCTGCAGTACAAGGTCCCCTTTCAAGCAGTAGGAAGCCATGAAGCCAACGGACATGGATGGAAAGGTCCGGCGGGCAGGCTGGCTGGCTCGCGACCCCCTTCTTCCCGCAGCCGAGGCTGGTACCCATTCCATCAGCAGGCTCAGGCCCTCTCTAGCTGCCAGGCCAGGTCGCTAACAGGCTTCTCTCGGTTTTTTCTGCAGGACCTGGACCCACCCCCAAAGCAAGGTTTACTTCTCAGCTGCTCGCTTTTGTTTCTCCCCCAAAGCACATGTGATCGTGAAACCCCTCCTCGTCCCACCTCCCAAGCTGAAGACCTTGCCATGGCCCTGCTGGGATACGGATAAAAATGCATGCCCCACGGGCCTTGCTGGTCTGGCCCGGCCTTTCTCCACCTGGCCACGCGGGAGCATCACCCATGGGAAGGGGTTTCAATCACACCCATACCCAGGTCCAGCACAGACCAAGTGAATCAGACCCAGATCAAGGAAATCAGAACTGGTGGTTTCCAAAGTTCCCCAGCTGATTCTTTATTTTTTTAAATAAATTCATTCATTCATTCATTCATTCATTTTTGGCTGCACTGGGTCCTTGTTGCTGTGTGCGAGCTTTCTCTAGTTGCGGCGAGCAGGGGCTACTCTTCGTTGCAGTGCGTGGGCTTCTCACTGCGGTGGTTTCTCTTGTTGCAGAGCACGGGCTCTAGGCACGTGGGCTTCAGTAGTTGTTGCACGTGGGCTCAGTAGTTGTGGCTCACGGGCTCTAGAGTGCAGGCTCAGTAGTTGTGGCGCACGGGCTTAGTTGCTCCACGGCATGTGGGATCTTCCCGGACCAGGGCTCGAACCCATGTCCCCTACATTGGCAGGAGGATTCTTAACCACTGCGCCACCAGGGAAGTCCCTCCCCAGCTGATTCTAATGAACTACCAGGGCCAGGAGCCCTGATAAAGTTGGCCTCTCCTCCACTGGCCCCCACCCTGACCTCGGGGGCCACATGTCCCTACACGCTCCCTCCTGCTTCTCCCTGCTGCCGCGTGCTGGACTGCGCCCTACACACACTCACCACGTGCCTTAGCCACAGTGCCTTTGCATATGCTGTTCCCACTTCCCAACACTCTTCCCTGTTTTCTTTGTTGAATAAACTTGTTAAGCCTTCTTCATATCTCAGCTCTCGGCAAAACAGTTAGTCCCTTCATCCCAGAAACATTCCCTGATCTCCAGAGTAGCTCAGTTCCGCTGGAACAGGCTTTCACGGCCCCGTGTACCTCTGCTGGACAGGGCTCACACAAGCCGATGGTGGAAGTGACAATTCTTTGTTACCATGCCCGACTTTCCTGATAGACAGAAAGCACCCTAAGAGCAGGGACAGCATCTTTATTGTTTCTG